AGATACTTAGATGTTGGTTAAGATAATTTAACCAATCAAATTTATCTTCATAAACTGCATCATTACTAAGTAGGTATGAGAACTACTAACTAAAGACTAACATCATCAGCTCAGACTCCACTGCCTCCACACACTTCCAGTGTGATGCAGACGGTGAAACCTTATGACTTCTCACCATTTAAAACTAAGGAGCCTCCATGGGCTCAGAGAGAATCCTGCTCTAACGAGAATAAAAGATAGGAGGTCAGAAAACTATGCCGACGGCAGTGTTGCTGCCAGCCAGCTGTCTTCTCTGCTGCACAACAAAGTGGCAAGTGTTAGGTCTCTAGGACAAAGCTAAGGATAGGACACAGATGGTGGTGAGATTAAAAATGGGACAATAAAGAAGGAAATAAGGCAAGTCAATCAATAAATGCTTTAGTTTACTGTATTTAAAATATTACAATATGGGAAAGGAACAGGCCACGAGATTGTGTTTTTTTAAAAAAAAAAAAACAACTATAGACACAAGTACAAAGGAGTGCTGGGATGGAAGATTTGTCTTGATGTCCAGAAAAGAAGGATTCAAGCAGGGACTTGAGGGCTGGCTAACACGTCAATAGGCAGAAAGCAGAGATGAAACAGTGACCAAGAACTACCCCAAAGACATCAACAGGGCCATACAGCAAGCACCCAAGGGATCAGGGCTAGTGACCACTGCAAGATAACACAAAGTTTTGTGCCTGAGGATTGTCAGTGATGGTGGCATTAACAAAAGTGGAAGACTGAAGGAAGGAAGACAATGTACAATTTTACATATACTAAGTTTGAGGTGACAGTACAGCCAAGAGGAAATGTCTAGTATGAACAGAGTCTGGGCACCAACCTCAAGCTCTGAAAAAAGGACACAGCCAGAGAGATGTTTTAGAGACAGCTGAAAAGAGAGGATTAGATTTCATTATGCCAACGTCAAGTCAATTCACCTAGCTATTCAACAAATATTAAGCACTTACTATATAAAAGGTGCTGGGGGGCGGGAGGTTACCATGTTAGACAAGACAAGCCCCTGTGGGTCTTATATTTTAGCAAGGGAAGACAAGCTGTAAATAAATGTGTAACTCCAGGTTGTGATTAAAAAAAAGTACAAAGAGAAAGCAGAGAAAGGAGACTAGAAAACAATGACAAGGGGAAGGTTACTTCTCAATAGAATGGTCAGGGAAGACCTTTCTGAGCAGACTTGAGCCCAGTAAGAGTGAATTCTGCAGGTCTGAGAGGAAAGCTGCATGTCAGAGAGAACAGGGAAAGACCCTGGAACAGTAAACAAGCTGGCCATAACTGAGGAACAGCAAGGTCAAAGAGTTAGGAGGGATAAGATCCTAAAGGGCCATGGCCAAGAGTCTGTATATAATTTCCCTTAAGAGGTTATAACCATCAACCGTAAGCTGCCACTTAGATTATAATATCCTTCTGACTGCTCTCCCCCCGCACTCTTATTCACCTCCAATCCATTATCCACATTGCATAAAAAATAATCTGTATAAAATATACATTCACTCCTCTGTCACTCCTCTGCACAAAGCCTTTCAATGGTTTCATACTGTGTGGCTTCTGCAACTTAACCATCTTCACTCAACAGTACGTGAGATTCACCCATGTTGCTTCTTATTACCCAAAGGTCAAAACTGTGCAAAACTATGCATGATTTAGGGATGTATACACATGTAGTAAAAATAGAAATAAAATTAAAAAATGTATGAATAGAAAATTCAGGATAGTGGTTACTCCTGGGAAGAAGGAAGAAAGGAAAAAAGGAGGGAAAGGAAGGCTAGGATTGGAAAGGAGTAACCAGAGGACTCCAATGGTACCAGGTAATGTTTCATTCCTTAAGCTGGATGGTAAATATGTAAGTGTTTAATACATCATTTTTATATCTTTGTATATATGTATGAAATATTTCATAGATTTTTTAAAAATCTGCAATGTCTTTCCACTGATCTTAGCACAATGGCCAAACACTGATTGCTCCAGGCCCACAGGCTCTATCCTTCCCTTTCAAGTGTATTCTTCCCTCTGCCTCTGACACTACTACTCTGGCCTCTCCACCTGAATAGTTCATTCTGATTCTCCCTGTAGACTCAAGGATGGCCTCTCTGTCCCTTCCCCAAATAAGACCCTTCCCTCTCGGAGCACTCTGTACATTCACAACACTTATCACATTATAAATTAGATAACCAGCAACTTAAATCTCTCTCCGAGAGAGTGCAAGGATACCAGAAGGGTAAAGACATTCCTGATGTGTT